TGTATTCTGGTTCAACCACGCACAAAGTAAGAGATGAGAGGGGGGAGGTATACAATGACAAATTACTTGTCAAACCACATCCTTGCCCATCCCTTAATTTGCTGAGATTTATGAAAATATAGCTTGAAATTTCAGAGAGAAAAATTCTTCTCCCCCTCCCCGGCTATCTAAAACGTAAGTTTTCCATAAAACAGGCTCTGAGTGAAAATTACGGCCACCTGTAAGATTGTGCTTCTCTCTGCTACTGCAGGAACTGCTAACCGCAGTGGACTCAGTAACTGTGGATCTAGACTTTGCAGGGTGTATCTCAAAAGAGAAAGGACTGACGTAACTCTCTCTTCTGCAAAAAAACCAAGCTGCTTCCAAAAAGCCATCAAGGGCACTATCTCAGTCTCTGCAATTCTAAAGGAACTTCACCAATGTGTACAGAATTAAATATCTATTATATTATCAATAACTGCCTGAGGGATGCCTGAAGCAGGAAGAAAGAAAATTACATTAAAGAGAAAATCCAGAGTTTTGGTAGTGGTAGAGGAAGAAGATTTTTCTATCAGTCTACTGTTGTGCTACAGATTGTCAAAGGCCGGGCTACAGATCTCGGGCAGGTTAAAAACGGTTCAGTCAACCTGCATTTTCTGTCTTAGATTTCAGGTACCTAATTCTGAAATGCCAGAACGTCAGAAGGTATTTTAAAAATAAAAATTAAATTGCGCTGTCTCAACTATGTGGTGGCAACATGAAATGACTATTTCAATTTTTATAAATAAATAACATTTATGCTACCCCTAGGAATCTGCTTTAAAGGGCAAAGCCAATGACCAGAAGTTATTTGCACTAACCAACCAATAGAACACTTGCTGAATTGTGTTTCTCTTAGAACTTGTGATGTGTACTACAGTGGTACACAGTAATCTTCCTGACTACGACCCATTCAGTAAAACAGTTCTTAGCAAAAGAAGGGAGAAATTAGCAACACCCAAGTGCTGGAACAAACAATTACATCCATGCCGAAACACACATGCCTTAAGCTGGCTACCACTGTGACATCCAATTTTAAATGGTTAGGTCACAAATTGAACATACTCCCCTCATTACTCGGTTACTGCTTAGAAATCTCTAATCTATTTTTAAAGTCTTCCTTTGTGTGCTGGATAAGAACTTAATTTAAGTGATTTCTTTATAATCTGGAGGTAGAACTTTAATGTAGGCTTCGAAAACCACAGCTGGCAGCAAGAACAACAAGTTAGTTGTCAAAGCAGCTTTCAGAGACAGAGCCTATGCAAAAGGCAAACATCTGAAAGAGGGTTCTGATATCCCAGAAAACTACTGTGGCTTAACAAGGCACTATCTGTCATAGGTACTGTAACAGCTGACTGCAGATATGTTTAGAGCCTGTGGCTAATGGAAAGCATTCCTTACTGGCATTTGAGCCATCAGCTGGATCAACTGAGTCTCAAAAGGCTCATCATTTCCCCTGTTCAGATACGCTGAGACAAGGATTCCTTCCAATACTCCTACTGAATGTCTCTTACTAGTTTTAAATTGACACACTCGATTCAAGCAATTCAACCTAAAGGCAATTGTGGAAAATATTCAAATACTTGGTTCTATAGAGGAATAAAATCAAAAGACTAACAATTCAGGATGTTATCACAAAATGTTAAGCGATATCCCTCTTTAATGCTACAGAAGAGGGAATTACTCCATCTAAACTATAATGAAACGCAGATTTGGAAATGAAAGTCCGTTTAAGTGGCTTTGTGCTAAAATACAAGAAAAATACGATTTGCTTAATAAACTGCTAGCACATTTGAAACTGTGTTTCGTCATAATCCCCATTAAAGACTCTTTTAGGCACAGTTTCACCAATTCAGTACCTTTAACACAAATCATTCAAATACTGCAGTGTTCTCTCACCACAGAGAAGACATTTTCAAGGAGCATTTGAAATGCAGGATTTCTGACAGAAAAGGCAGAATAACTACCACTCACAGACGCACAAATTTATACAAGTTCCTAAAGAGTGTGATGTTTTAGCATTTATTGACCCTGTATGTAACACTGGTACTAAAACATGAAAAAATCTTTTCCCTCCCCATTAATACAGTCGTGTCAACAGAAGCAGGCCACACGATGTGTGATCCTTCCCTTGTGCCCTTATGCTTTACTTTGACACAGATCAGAAGACCAGCTCCTCGCATACCCACCAGGCACTTCAGATCTGTCTTCTGTGGATGTAACACTCCCCACATCAACACTGTCAGTGTCCAGTTTCAGAAAAGAGGTTTTCCCTTTAAACAAGAACAGGGAACTTACGCCACAGAGATGACCCCCTGTGTAAGTCATGCAGGTCCTGCAGCTCACTTTGGCCAACAGAGCCTTGAGTACCTTTCCTCTAAGCCTGCTGGACATGGGGGCTGAAGGGCCTTTCCAGCAAAGCTGCATCAACTAAGAGCCCTGAGCACAGATCTGCTCACCAGGCACCAAAAAAGGTTGCACAGCAAAGCCCTGGGCTTGGAGGTAGAAACAGTAGATGAGGTATTGCCCCCTAAACCTTTTGATACTCTCTCCCTAACCATCTCTGGGAATTCTTACTCCCCTAAGGATTCTCCAGCACAAAAAAGGCATTTCTTCTTTTGGTCTTTATCCAGCAAATAAAAAACACTTTCCAGGATTTTGGACAAATCAAATGTATGTTTTAATGCATTCATTTTTCCTGAATCCTACTGCTCTTTAGGATAGAAGTGGTCAATTACTGTGTATATTTGGGGGCTATTCCTTAAAGGAATGGTCTAAGACAGGTAACACTTTTAAAACAGTGAGAGTTATGCCAAGTACAAAAGTACTACTGTAATAATGAGCAATTTCAATACTACAGCTGTAATGAGAAGTTCCAGGAACATGGTTAAACTAAATTCTGCTTGGCTCGGAGCCATGCAAATACTTCTTTTCCATATTCCCATCAATTACAGATGTACAGTAAGTGTTTTTGTGCTTAAGTGCACTATTACAGGGGACACAAATAAGCCATTTTTCTTCCAGTGTTTGGAGCTAACATTTCTATAATATCATATTACACATCTGGTAGACTTGAAAAGCATGCTCAGACTCTTACTTGTGTTGCATTAGGAAGCCATGTCATTTGAATCAACTGAAAATGGATAGTGTAACTGCATGTCCTAACCAGACTACACATGCCTACAGTGGTCATAGAGGTGTTTTTACATTGTACTGGTATAAGTGTTTACATTTGGGAAAGTAGCCATCAGGAGCAGAGAACAATTATTGTTAAATGTTTGCATGCAAACAAAAGCAGATACGTACCATGAAGGGAGTATTTAATAAAAAATTACAGTTGCCACTTTAAATCCATGTTTTGGAGTGACAAACCTATACTGAGACTTTATTAGGAAAATTAATAATCTTACCAATAAAAAAAAGCTAACCAGAGCTATGCAAACACTTTACACACTTTTTAGAGTGAAATATATCACCCTCACAAATGCTGCCTTCCATCACTGATAAAGTCTATCAGAATGTAAAAGTACAATAGAAGTGCAATGGACCCTCTCACTGCGTATCAGCTGTAGTCTGTGCATCTCCCCTTGCAGAAGCCCCAAACTATAGCATGAGTGTGTTAGGACAAAAAGGATAAAACCAAAATTAAGCATTTTCTGAAGCTCCCAGTTCCACGTGGAGTGCACAACAAAGACACCTCAGAAGTGCAGGGAGGTGAGTTTTTATTACACTAGTGTAAAAAGTTAAATGGTCTACAGAATTAACCATCATCATTAAACCAAAAAACTATTAACAGAAACCACGTTTCCATTTTCAACTCTCTGATTCATGTGACCATCTTGGAAAAGAAATCAAGGTATTTCCCTGAGAGTTAGATATCACATTCATATTCTGCATGTTCTTACCAACCCTTTACATGCAGAGTGTGTAAAGTATCTGGCCACACAAAGTTGGCACCTATCCAGATAGGAATGTTGGGGAATACTGTTCCGTTCTCTTCAAGGCAAACCGGTAAACTCCGAGAACTGAAAGGTCTGACCTTACACACTGGACTGCTACTGGCAGGAGATTTCTGACCCATGTAAGAATGACTGTGAAATAACTATGGCAGTTAGGAATTGTTAAATGTGAAATTACTAATATGTTGATCCAGGAAGACAGCATAGTTTTGTGGACAGCTTTATGCTGGACAGTAAAGAGGATCCCATTTTCTTCAGTTAAAATTGATCTCAACTTCAGTATTAAAAACTGTAGAATTATCATATCTGCACATATTACAGTTAGTACAATTAAAAGTTAAAATAAGTTAAAGCTTTCAAATGTTACCACATTTCTTTTTGTACTGCAATTGTTAGGTTTTAATGGCAATAATTTGCACGGTAGAACTATGCACAGACCCTTATTTTATTATTACTTTTCATGTGGAAAGGCAACTATTACCTCAAATCCCTCCTGTACACCCAGCTGGAGAAAGATTTACTCCATCTAACAAAGGGTTATAAAACTGAGCCTTCCTTCCCAGTGGCACAGACAGCAAAGGCAAGACAACAACTCTTTTGAATGCTCAAGAGCAGCAATGCTAAGAGAGTTCATAGGCACTTAAAGTGACCTTTAAAGAAGTCTTTAAAGTCTCCTACTCTGGATAATTGGTCCAGACTACTTACAATATAAACATTTTTTGGGTGCTGAAAGCATTGATCTAGCTAGGCCACATGAGGTAGTTCTGGCTCACTGTTTTCTTTTCTATTACATTCCTAAAATCCAAGCAGTGCAAAAACTCTGATCTCCATTATGACCGTACACAAAGAAAGTGGCTGTATCCTATTTTGACCCCTCTTTCTGAGACAGGAGTAGAATAGTATTTTCAGACAGAAGGACTGCAACACATTAGTGTTTACAAGAACTGATACGATGGGATCTCAGTGGTGTAACATCATAGCCCCCTGGTTGTAGATGACACATGAGAAAGCATATGGACTTACTGACAATTCTTTGATTAATTTTCTTAGTTCCTTGTGTCCATGCTTCTCCGCGATACTTTCTGGATCATCTCCGTATTTATTGGTTATTTTGCAAGCCCATGTGGCCTCAGGACAACTGAGCAGAAACATTGCGAGGTTCTTTAATCCAAATCTGGCTGCACAGTGAAGGAGGGTAGGAAATTCTTCCAGATGGCTATCTGTATATGGAAACAAAGTCTTCATGAAGAACAGTTTTGCTGTAATAGAACACCTTTCACAAAAGTCCTCTGGAACATTAGCGCTATGGAATCACAGTTATCAAACTGCCAATACAGAACTAGCACCAAAGAACAATTTTCCCAATTAACAGTTTTACAATTCATATATCAATAGAAGAGCATTTAGCTTAACTGAGAAATCTCATTTTCTGCTGACAGAGAGATTTGAAAGCCCTTTAGTTTTATTGAGAAATAAGATTTCTTGCAAGGGGAAAAAAATTTTATAGCTAAGACATGCTTTTGCTTAGGTGGAATATTTTTAATGTAAGATATTTGAATGGGCCATTTTTATAGGTTTACGGTGCTATGTTTTGATATTAAAATCCATTTCTGAAAATTCACATGAATACCAGAGGCTTGCAAAAATTTGCCTAACCCTATAATGAAAAATCAGAGAACTTAAAAATTAATGTATTGGATGAGTTTTTAGGGTTTATCTGATATAACATGACATCAGTTTCCATCACAGACTATTTTTTACATTGGAGGACAGGGACAGTCAGTTTATCGTTTCAGCAGTCCTGTATTTTAACTCTATGAGTGACCACAAGTTACATACAAAACCAAACAAACAAAAGAAAAGGTTCAAACGTAAACAGTATTTCTCTCTGCCTTCATACTCTACTTCCTAATCACTTGTGGTTTGCTGTTTACCAATTTGTCTGTGTATTAGCACGCAGTGTATCTCTTCTCCAAGCATGCATGCAGCCTGCCCCATGCCCCATCAATTCCACGCACAGAGGGTCTTTATTATCTACTGCAAGAAGGAGTGCTTGCTCTAGCTTGTTTTGAACCTGGCTTCTGCTACATTCAGTTGAGTGCCCCTAATTCATCTTACTCTCCACCTCTGTCTGCCCTCTCCGCAATCCTAGTGATTTACTCATTCCCAGAATTTCTTCTTGAAGGGCTCCAGTCTCGGGCCTTACAGAGAACAAACTCCATCACCCACACTGCTCTCTCCAGAACCTTTTCAAGCTTTAATGTAATCATTTTAAGATGACAGGAGAAGAGCTGCACATGATACTCAACTTGCGGGTGAGCCATGTAATTTATGCATTGCCATAATTATGCCCTGTTTTGTTCTCTATTCCTTTTCTAATAATTCCTAGTATTTCATTAGCTTTTTGATCTGCTGCCTAGCAACAAGTCGATGTTATCATGGAGCTGCGTGGTCTTATTCCTCAGTGCTAATAGCCTGCTCAAACCTTCTCATTTTGTATGACAACACAGGACTGCTTTTTCTACTTGCATTGCTTCGTTTTTACCTACAATGAATATCATCTCACGTTTTACTGCATAATTACCAAATCCCTCATTCCTGTCCCCCACCCCTTCCCCATTAGCCCTCCTCCTTGCTGCCCTGAATACCTTCCATCACCAGAAAAAAAGAGATTTTCCCAATTGTCTGCCTTCTGGTTTTGATCAGTTATTCATCCATGCCCAAACAATTATTGACTTAATCAGGTTTGCTGACTCTTACAAAAAACTACAAGAAATCTATAAAGCAGACTTCACATTACAGAAAATAAATTTTATTAAAACTTCTATTAATTAGTAGAATTAGTAGAGATAACACATGTAGAGTCTGGTAGAGATAACACATTAACCTGCTTCTAGTTCTCAATGTCCCCCGAGAAACTGGGTTTTAGCATCATAGTCACACCTTCCACCACTACAAAACTGAAAAATTCCACACTGCTATTAGAAACCCAGCTATTTTATTTTAACATTTCCTCAGAGTTCTTAATGAATGACAGTCCTAGTAATTTTTTTGTGTACAACCTGACCATTTTTGCTACAGCTTCATGATTCCTTCAACTCCAGTCTCTTTCCATGTGCCTCCAAAACCAGGACTACAGCTTGGGAATCTACAGAGTTTCTTCGAGCATTCTTGAGTTTTGTTTTATATCCTAGTCATTGGTTGTCCTACAGGCTAGCCAGCAGCACATTATCAGCCCTTAGTGTGCTGGAAGAAAGTCTAAGTAGTAATGTCTCCTTCTGGAATTCTCTTAGCTGCCAGTCTTTAACAAAAACTTTCTCATTTTTATATTCTTCTGCATATTAAACTTCGGCTCAGTAGTGGTGAATTTGTGTACCATCCCTCCTCATCCCTTTATGGCTCCTGCAGAATGGTAATACAGGAGAGAGTAAAACCTCACTCCATCATTAGATGTAAGGATTCAAGGAACAAGAGGAGTTCTTGGAATAGTCATAGCTAAGTACTGATCGACCAAAAAATTGTTAGGACAACTCTTGACTGTATTTTTGACAAAGAATATTCCACCAGTATCACTCCAATATTATTTTGCCACAAGGAATTTGAGTGGACTACATTCTAGTCAAAAGTCCCATTAATAACTCTATCTTTAAACAAATTGAGTGTTGCCTGACTTAGTTCCACCAGGCAAAGAAAAATCTAATCAAGAAACTGTAAATACGCAACACCTGTATAAATCAGGTCACTTCTTTTAGAAGCCTTGGGAGGCAGAGCTTCCATCAGTAAGATTATGTATAGTAGATTATATTCCTTTGTATTTGCAGTGTGCTTTAAAATCCTTTGAGCTACAACAGGCAATCTTAAAACTGTATATAAGCTACGTTTTTTGAGAGAAGTAGGTGTCACACAATTTCTTCATTCCATATTGTTTATAAACTAGGATTAATTCTGAAATTTGAAGAACTATACATTTTAATCCAGAGTATAGGCATTAGACTTCTTATTTTTATCTATACTTTTCCAGCTGCAGAGACAAACTAAAGCCCCATCACAGACTGAGGCATATATACAGCAAAAGCAAAAGGAGCTTTCACATGAGCAGTAAAAATGTATGTGAGTAACAATGTCCAGCAATGTAGTAAGTGTGGAGCAGTAATTTCAAAGAAGAGTGAATTACGCAAACCCTAATCAATAGTTTTCACCCTGTTAGCAGACATGAGAAGGTCAAATACAGTCATTAAAAAGAGGCTTGACAAAGTAATAATAACATGTTCCAAAAGAATTTCCACTCATACTAATGAAACCTAAAACAATTGGTTACAAATCTGAAAGGGGAAACAAGTCTATATTACCAATAGACTGGATGCTATGATTTCTTCACCAATACAAAAAGAGTAGGTGGTATTCATAAGCCTGCTCTGGGCTTAAATGTGCATTTTTAAAGTAACACAAAACAGAGGTTTTCAAAAATCTCTTGGGTTCCTTTGCACTTGAGACGTTTTTCCTGGTCACCACTCAACTCCTTCCTAGCTGGGTTTGATATTCAACCAGCACTCCTACACTTACATTCTTTGAACATTACAGAGACTACATCATCAAGAAACAAAACACCTCTGCCAGTCATGGAGGATGTAAAAATCAATAAATCAATTTCATAAAACAAACTTTTTTCTACATTGCTCCCTGTAGTAAGAGGAAAAAAAAGCTGGTGTGTTAGGTAGGAATACTTTAAAAGCAATACTACAGTGCCCAAAACTGCACACAATATTCAAGGTGAGGCTGCCCCAGTGCAGAGCAGAGCAGGACAATCCCCCTCCTCAACCGGCTGGCAATGCTTTGCCTGATGCCCCCCAAGACACGGTTGACCCTCCTGGCTGCCAGGGCACAATGACTCAGATTCAACTTGCCATTGACCAGTTGCCTTCCAGCCCCAGTCTTTAAGAACATCCAGGGTTGCCCCATCACAGGTGCAGAATCTGGCACTGTCCCTTGTAGAACATCACGTGGCTGGTGATTGCCCAGTCCTCTAATTTGTCAAGGTCTCTCTGCAGGGCCTCCCTGCCTCTGAGGGAGTCAAAAGCTCCTCCCAATTTTGTGTCATCAGCAAACTTGTTCTTTATCCCTTTCAGTCCTCCGTCCAAGTCATTTATGAAGATGTTGAAGAGCTCAGGGCCTGAGATGGACCCCTGTGGAACCCCACTAGTGACAGGTCACCAGTCTGATGTCACCCCATTCACTGTCACCCTCTGTGCTCGACCTGTGAGCCAACTGCTCACCCAGCACATGATGTGTTTATCCAGCTGTGGGCTGGCCATTTTGTCCAGAAGGATCCTGCAAGAGACAGTATCAAAACCTTTACTGAAATTCAAAAAGATTACATGAACTGGCTTCCCTTGATCAGCTAGATGGGTTCCCTTGTCATAGAAGGAAATCAGGTTGGATAAGCAGGACATTACTCTCATGAAGCTGTGCTGGCTGTGGCCAATGACTGCACTGTCTTTCAAGTGTTTTTCAATACCTCCCAGAATAATCTCCTCCATAACTTTACCAGGCACTGAAGTGAGACTGACAGGCCTGTAACTTCTGGGCTACTCCTTCTTGAAAATTAGGACAATGTTCTCCAGCTTCTAGTCAGCTGGGACCTCTCTGGATTTTCAAGACTGCTCAAAAATCATCAACAGAGGTTATGCAGTGACACCAGTCAGCTGTTCATCCTGGGATTCTGGGATGAATCCCATCAGGCCCCACAGATGGAACAGCAAGCTCAGGGTCAACTGGGAGTTGATCATTCTCACAGTCATGGTCCTCCAGCTCAGGGCACTGAGACCCCCTTGGTCTATTATCCGTGTTGAAGACAGAGGCAAAGAAAGCGTTAAACATCTTGGCTTTATCTCGGTCTTTATCTTACGGTCGTTTGTGAGGTGACCATCCTCATCTTGGGACTGGCCAATGATATTTCTGCCTATTGTCATTAACGTATTTGGAAAAGAACTCCTTTTATTGTCCCCCACATTTCCAGCCAGCTTCAACTCCAGCTGAGCTTTGGCCACATGAATTTTCTCCCTACAGCGGCCAGCAGCATCTCTCAATTCTTCCCTTGTCACTTGACCTTGCTTCCACTGGAGAATGTTAATAAACAAAAGCTGTGGCTGTTTGGCACCTACACTAAGAACTAGTTAGCTGGTGATAATAAGCAGGAAGGAAATGTTAAAAATATACCACTTGAGCACTTTAAGTGCTTTAAGGGGCCTTCTCTAGCTTTCAACTAACATTAAGACCAGGGTTTGCTTTTAATTAACTTTTATTTGACGTGCACAAGGTTAAAAGGGAACTGATGCTCTCTAAGTTTTGTCCTGTCATAATCCCTTCTCTACAGAGAATTCTGCAAAACCTCAGCTATAAAGCACAGTATAAAATCTAATATTACTGTATTGTAGCACTGTCTTAGCCTGCAGGAATTTTCATAAAACTGTAGCAAGCAAACAGAGCAGCCTACAGTGATCTTTTTGTAGATCTTGTAAGACATACTTCTTTTATTTCCAAAATTATTGCAACAGGACATGATTTTTTTAGCAATTTAAATAGGCACTTAAGATGACTTCTACAGTGCCAATCCCTTTCCTCCCCCCCATTATTTTGCTGGCACCTGAAAATCCAGAATCAATTCTTTCTTCTTTTGGGATAGATCTTTCAAGTTGAAAGAATGAATTACAGAAACCAGGATAAGATTTTCTACATTGCTAGCAGTGTTAGGAGAGAAAATACAGCATTTTCTACAAAGCAAATTCAGAACCTGTCATAAGCCTTGATGTTTAAGTTTAATCAGAGAAGCAGTAATAGATAGTTTTTTAAAAAATGAAAGTTAATTAATAGTGGTAAAAGAAGCAGTTTTTGCTCAAGTAGATTGCCATCTCTTAGACAGGAATTAATGTAGCAGGAATCCCCAAATCTGAGGACTCATGAGCAGAATCAGAGCTTACCATGAAAACCAGAAATATTTATCAAGAAATATAATCTTGGAAATATAAGTCTGGATTGGTTAGTATGTTCTGACTGGATTCTATTAGTAGAAAACAAAATAATAATATATATACAACATATCCTGAAATCAGTTTGGTACAGAACATACAATATTCCAGACAATACTGCCAGCTTTACTTACATTTTTCTGCAAGGGATGACACCACCACTAAAAATCCCAGACATGCCTTGGCTCTGTCTTTCAGTTAACCCTGTTATTAAACACAATATTTTCCCATGTATTCTATTCAGCTTTTATTCTAGTCACGCATTTAGCTTTCTCATCTGATTGGGCTTCCTGCATTTCCCTTTATAGACTGCAGAATAACCTCTTTAAATATCATTCATTACTAAAACTTTCTTCTCCTCCATCACCTGAAAAACGTCTTCATCTTCTATCTTCTGTACTGCTAGTAAGTAATATCCATACATGATATATGTTTTTCCAGTAGAGATTCCCGATTTACTTGTTGGTTACTACAATAACTAGTACAGTCTGATACTTCATCAAAAGCAAGCAATTGAAACTCATCTTGTGCATGTAGTCCAACAAGTGAGATCTCACAGAGAAAGAATAGTGCATACATATTAAAGTGCTTGCAGGGCTATTGACCTACTTTTCGTATTGCAAGGAAGTCTGATGTGCCACTCAAACAATTCTCTTTGCTTAGATGGTAAGAGACTGAAGTTTCCAGAACACATTATCTGTGATCCATGGAATCTTTTCAAAAACGTCCCTTATCAGAAATCATTATATCCAGCAATATACCTATCCTAAGCAGGTAAAGTTACATACTGTGGTAACGTAGTAAGTTTATCAGGACATTTTGCTCATTTTATTAGTAATTGAGAGAATTGGGAATACTGAAAATTGAGTTGAGTCTCCCCAGGGAAATAGCAATGGATGATTTTACCCTAAGCACATGTTACTTATAGGCAGTTTTGTATATACATATGTTAGTGTAGAGACAAGTAATCACACACACCTATGAGAACTGGTTATACGTTGATGTAATAGACTGAGTATAACAGACCAGTCATTCAGAAAAGCTCATTTTAAACAAGAACCTACACATAAGGCCTGTCATCAAGTGTTAAAAGTCTCCTACCTAATTTGAATAAATTAAAACCAAAAGACAAGTAAATCACCTCAGGGTTTGTAAGAAAATTAGGCAATCTCAAACTATGCACTGAAGAGTGAACCAAACAAGTGCTAGTCAAGAGGATTATTCCGACTTTAGTAACGAACAGATTGAAGTAAAATGGTATCAGAGTTAACCTTTTGCATCTTTGCCATCCTAGACACTGACTTCTCACAAGTACTGCGTCATCATGCTAAAAAAATGTTGAACAGCCACTCTGGGGATGGGAGTGGCTCTTGAAAAATTTGGTAAGGAAACATGCATCTCATGATGTGTTGATCTAAACTGCTGTCAATATAGGCAAGCATCACATTGCACTGTTCTTTCATTACACCACCAGCATTTTATAGTTAGTTCTACACTGCCAAGTTTTTAATCTCACAGCTGCACACTTCGTGAGAAGTCAAGCCACGCAATTCATTAGTTACCCAATAAAAATAACCATAAGTTATTCATTATTGGTTCACCTTCAGCTCAGACTGAACTTTCAAGTACAGCAATTTATTGGCTGTACCCTGATGTGCTAACTATAAAGTTAAAATAAAGCATCAGTGTAGAACCATACAGAAAAAGGCTTCTCTTATCTCTGCCTCACACTGAAAGCTTGACCTTCTCTAGTTCTCTACTGGACATGTTAAGTGCCCGTTTGGGATGCTGTTATAGGGAGTCAAAGATGCAAGTTTATACACCTTTCAGGCAGAAGAGGGATCAGAGCAGAGACCTCCCACATTCTGAGCGCTGCCAGCTCTGCTACCACATCTTTCTTTCATGAACAAGCTAGGAATCTAACTTAGTATCTTCTTTTTGTGCACCTATCAAACTAGTTCATTTTAAGAAGGTCACTACTTGGCTCAAGCTCATAAGCAGTCAACTTGTTGAACTGCACCGGTCTTTTGGGGGAGGACAGCAGGTTGGCAAGTATTATTCTCAGAGTTCAAAAACATGCCCAGATCTAACTGGTTGCTAGAGAAGCAGAAAATCTTTTGTTCATCAGAACTAACATTTCACATTGGGAATGACTCTTGAATGTGTCCTATACACCCCCATCCTGCAGTCTTGTAAAGGAAATTGTCAAGGACAGGTGCCTCAATTATTTGCTTCCACTAACTTTGACATTTAAACTCATTTTTTGATTACAAGTAGAATCAATTATTTCTAGAACAGAGGGGTGAATTGCATCAACAAAGAAACTGTCCTGAAAAGGAAAAGAACGAATGCTAACTATCACAGCAAAGCTACCTCCAAAACTTGTATTTGGTTATGAAAAGTGTTATGTTGTACCTGATTGTAGAGCTTATTTTCTCTTAAAACCACAATCCAGCTACACAAAATAGGAGTTAAGCAACAGCTCAAACACATCTTTCTCAAGTATTGTAGAAGGGAAACACATTTTCTTGAGCGTTGTTTTTCCCCAGAAGTTTCTTAGAAAAGCTGAGGTCTAACACACATTTGAAATAACCTCATAATGATGCTTTCAAAACACAAGCTAAATAATCACACTCTTAGTTTATTGCAAACTGATTTGGATCGTTAATAAGTGGTCAATGAATTCAACCAAGGCCCTCCATTTGCTACAAACCGTAGCTTCTGTTGACACATGACCGAATTGTGCATATAGTGTATCTACTTTAGAGAAAATAGAAAAACCCTATTTAACTCACTGGGATGCCTTTTTAAAAAAAATTAAGAAAAATAAAATTATCTTTTTGCCACAAATAATAGAAATTAAATGTATAAGTACTAAAACTGAATGGAGAAGTTCAGTGCTAAGTTCAAAAGCCATCTGTTCTCAGATAGAGAAATCTCTCAGACTGTCTCCAAACTTAGAAAAGAGAAGTCTACATTGCATTGCAGAACAGTAATTAGTAAAAAGCATATAATGTACAGGCATCTCCACATTACTTTGTTTTCTCCACTAGTATAAGTGTGGTCAGCTGTAAAGCTTCCAATTTGCAGTTGATCCAAAGCTGATCAAAAATACAGACAAGCATAAAGACATAGTACTGAGTCACAAAGTAACGATTTACACAGTTCTTTTTCACAATAAATACTTTGTGTTTATTGTGGATTCCTCCATTTCACTAGTGACTTTACATACTTAAAGACTGTCTTATTAATAATTTTATGTAATAACCATAGCATCAGTAATAACAATCAAAAAAGTGACTCACTAGCTTGTTGATGATGCTCTTCTCCACTTTGGAATGGGCTGAATTCATAAGTAGACACTTTGCTTTTCAATAACAACGTCAGAACATTGTCTACCTTCTCTACAGAAGAAAACTTCAATGCCTACTTAAAAGAAAATAAAATAAATTAGTGCATTTGTTGCATGTGTATTTTCAACTTTATCCTCAGAGTGCTGGTGAATCAAATTACACAGAGCAGTATTATTACAAACTCACTCTTAGTAAGAGCAGCACAGTTTTTGAAAACTATACAAGGGATATTCTAATATAAAAGAATCTAGATAACGTGGTCCAACTGCAGAAAAACATTTATAATAACATCAGAAGTTCAGCCATCACTTTAAAACTTCTGGACGAAGTATAAGGATGAGTTTATAGTTACCCAAAACCTTGTGGACTTGCCTAGGTAGGAAACAGCTTCAGCTCCATCAGCCAAGGCTTAACATTGCTGACAGGATAAGGGACTGTTATCAACAGGATAGATTTGTTTACTTATAAACACACAGTGTTTAGACAAGGGAAATTCTCACTGACTACCATAAGATTGTTTTTGGATTGCCTCCTTCTGGACAGAAGGCCAAGATCTATTCCTAATGACTTTCAAGGTAGCCATAATGAAGTATTTCTTTGCTTGGCATGACAAGAAAAGCACAACTACAGTGATTTGAACAGTAGGGATATTTTACACGTAAGTACTACAGTGCTAGTCCAGTCTGTGCTGCACTGGGCAGCCAAAGGAGCTCAGCCACAGCAGAGAGGCACTCGGGGGAGCTGGTTTACTCTGCTCAGATGTCATCAGCCCTGCATTAAAGTTTGCCTTCCCATAGTTGAACTGCTTCTGGTCAAGACAATTCAGGGATCACTAAAAGGGAACATCTGCAGACATGCTTAGCATATGAACTTAAAAAGAAACTCTGTGACTGACACGCTGAGGAGAAGAAGGACAGAGGGGTCTACTGATGAAACATGAAGTTTAATTCCTCAGGTTGTTAAAAGGGAATGAGAAAGTAAGTATGATGTGACCAGAAAATATTGAATGCACAGGCAAGATATAATTTTAATCCGACTCCTACTCAGAGGAAGCTAACAATATGACTGTTTATTTTTTCCATAATTAACCTCGGCCCTTCCAATATTATGATACGTAAAACCCATCATATTTCTTTTCATAATTCACTCCCTTTCTGTACTGATACATTATATTCTCTGGTTTTTTTATTCAATAATGATGAATACATAAATTAATCTTCAATAACCAAAGCAATAAGCATTAAAAAAAAAGTCTCTGCCTGAGGAAAAAAAGATCTTTGAAACTTGTTCTAGAAAAAAAATTTAACCTGAGTACTGGACTTTCAGTGTGAATTGAGAAAGCATGTGCAAAACCTCACATATATCTATAAAACCCCCAAACTATTAACATGAATAACAACATTATATTTACAAACTATTAAGAGGAATAAGGAAATTAAGAAACCATACTATTCTCTACTTCTTCCAAGTAGATCTTTTTAGATATGGTATCTTCATCAGTACTACCTTCATAAAGTTCAGTCTAGAGTAGGACAAAACCAAGTAACAACACAGGAACTACCTCAGATGAGTGTATATGAAGATAATGTGTCATAAAGAAAGATGCTCAAAACCACTGGTATTCACTGAAGCAACTATATAGCAGAAATTCTACGATATAGAGAATAAGAATTTAGGCAGGCTTCTAGACAAACTAAACCTGAAGTAATATTTTTAATCTCCATTTAAAATTACAGGGACACCCTTACACATTTTACTACCTATCTAAAAAAAAAAATGTACAAACAAAACAATGAAAAAACACCCCAAGAACATCTGCATCCAGAGGAGTAACTTCAGACGGAGTCCATTTCAGACTGTTTGTATCTCAAAGCCAAATAAACACCCCATAGGCTCTTTTCAGCAAGCACTGAGTAATCTTGTGATTAAATTAGAGATAAATTTCTCAAACTTTAACAGAACTTCCAGCATACCCACTTCTAAGATTTCCAAATCAAGCACCATGCATTTCTTATAGAGTTATCAGTGCAATTTTCTTCGAGTTTTCCACCTCAATTTTTTTTAACTCTTACTCCAGGGATCTAAAATCTGAAGACTCAAGTACTTATTTAACAAGCTACATTGCTAACTAAACCATAACAAGTAACTTCATTCTGCTACTCTACAACAAAGACACAAAATGAAAATCTAGATCAGTTATTAAAAAATAAACAAATCTGTCAAATCTTCCCAAGAAATCTCACTAATACTCCAAACCTGAAGTTCATGTTGAAAGTTCACCAAAGCCAACAGAAGCAGAACTGTATTTAAAACAAAGCACACTGCAAGGGAGCACTGAGCCAGGCAAGAGTTTGAGGAAGTCCACATTTTATCCAAATAAAGATCTACAACCTGACAGAAAAGAAGTAAAAGTGCTCCTTCCCCCAGTGTCCTTGCAGCCACTCAGAATTAAGCCAGTGAGTTTGTAGGCAATGCTTCCCATGGTCTCTGCAGCACAGCCACCTGTTCTCTGCTTCACCCATGGCAGTGTGAAAGCTTGATCCTTCTGCAAGCACTATTACTTGCTCCAGAGCTCATCATCAACTTAACCCAGCTCAGTAGCAGCTCCCTAGGTGTAGGCACTATCTCCCTTCTCTCACTCCTTTTTAGAGCAACAGGACACAGCTGCGAACAGAAAAAACCCAGGTGCTGACCATCACACCTGGGCTTCCAAAAACATCCTTGAAAAAGGAGGCCAAGCACATATTTTGCTACTTTTGCAAATAAGATGATCTACTTTCTTTAGTAACTGCTCACCAAGCCCTGAAAATCTGTGCCACTGAAATGCAGCACGCACAGCCACTAAATTAATGTATTCCACACTGGCTTTAGCAGTACTAACAAGGTTACATTTACATAAAGATGAACTTCTCCAGTAGTTCTTACATATCAGACACTACTTTATATGCACCTCCATATCTAGATTACTTCTGCCAAAGAGAATGGGCTAGGTTTAAAAATCACTCAGGCATTTCTGACAATTTTAGTCAGTGATAGAATATGGAGAGCTTTCATACCTAGAGGAAAAGAAAGAAACATTTTAAAATAACAGCTGCTGACGTGGCTGAAAAAATTGAAATATTAAATACAGTTTCAAAGGCAGTATCTCTGGGGATCAGGTAAAGGCACATACATAATATCGCCACATAAGTCATACGGCTTTTGACAAGTTTAAAGGCTGCAGTTTATTTTCATTCTTCTTTTCCAATATGCACCATCACTGGAATCCTGTTTGATGACTATGATAAAAACATCTTCTATGATATCGAGTATCTCAGAATCATAGGAGTACTATTCAACCAAAGTTTGTTACAAAGACTTCCTTAATCTCTCCAGATATTCTAAGTCACTCAAACTAACATGAACATAACAATTTCAGTAATAAGGATATTACCTTTTTCAACTTTGTTTTTAAACCTAATAAATATGTGCCAGTAAACTCCAACACTAAATAACTGAACCAATAACTCCCTTTGATAGAAAATCTGAGAGAAAAAACAATGCAGAATGTAAATCCAGCATGCCGAAATAAGAAGCTGATGAGAAGTAAAAACTATAATTTTTATTTATGAATTTGAGAACCTTAAAATCAGTCTGTACACTGGGTTACTGTGAGAACATAAACTCCCTAAGAAAGTTTCTTTTAATTCAGAATCATATAAAAGAGAGATAAAAAAGAGAGAACCAAAAATCATGGCCTTTAGCCAACCTTCACCCTCCTATATTCTTACAGCAAGTTCATTCAGCATTATGATTTATTATGATCCCAGCTCTTCCTACTTTAAGATTTCAGGTTTTTTCTTTTGAAACCTACACAAAGAAACTTATTTCAACTGCTTTATTTATTTATTTCATTACATTTTAAATATTTATTTGGTTGCTTAAAATGTCTTGCTGATACTGGTAAATGCCTTTTAAATTCAGACAAATTTGGAACACAGAAAATTACGATCTATCAGATGTAGCAAAGAATTTTATCCAAAGCCATAATTTGTAAAATCTTAGATTACGTTTAATCTAAACTTTAGCTAATGTCAATCTTTAATTGCTCTCTAAATCCAGATTCGTAAGTGCAGCGGTACCACACTTCATTAGTCTCCCACTGAGGTATATGTCCAGTAACAGGAATGGACAGCTGTAAGTCTATTTATTGGGGTTTGTGTATCTGTTTGGCTTTACTGGGGGACAAAGTGGAACACCTCGAAAGAGGAAAGGTTGGCAAAACAACATACAATGCAATGAAAGCATTTCACCAAAGCACCGTGTCTTTGGTATGCGCTCTTGTAGCAATTTGCTTTCATCACAGAATCTGAACAAGGAGATGCTTCTCAGATTGCAAGCACTTGTGAAAATCTTGAACTTTTCTTTGAACCACAGAGTAATATTGCTTTGATCAATAATTGCTGTAAGCTTTTCTATTTTATATCAGTTTTGTTTTCCATTGTGTTTGATTGTTACTTTGCATAGATAAATGCCTGTTGCCCCAGGATACTTTTGCAAATAAGCTGATAGTCTCAAAGGTTTTAATTATCCTAGTTAAATAAAAGTTACTATTACTCCTGCTACTTGATGAGAATTCTAATTAGTATCAAGTCTGTTTTGTTTTTCCTTTTGTGAACATATTTTAAAGATTAAGTTAAATTATGCTCTGTAAATTGCATCTTTATAATGCATTTTATTGACATCAAACCAGTTTTACGTGAGAGCTGATTAAAAAAGTTTGTAGAAGTATTTCCTAGTGTGCACTGCTGCTCCACACAGAATTATTTTTGCATTTGAATATGATTTGAATTGCATGTGTTCTACTAAATATTAGTCATGCTGGTTAAATGAAGGGTCAAACTCCTGAATATCGCAAATAGCTCTCCAGTGGAAACAGCAGGTGTGCTTTAGGTATCTAGGTTACCATGTTAATGACAATTTTTTATATCATTATGACACACTTCTTATGCATAAAAGTTTAAATGAAATGTGTTGGAAGCTTACTTTGATGTAGTTCAAAATACAAGCTAAAGAATGACAGATACCATAAAGAATTTAAGAATCCATTTGTACTTTGAGTTGCACTACTTTTCTTGTGCAACAGCCTGTTTTCTTAGAACAGAAGTAACTTCGTATTTGGAAGGAATCCACCCCCATCCTTAATAGAACACTAATAATGCAATACATCATTTTTATTAATCCTTTTGTTATGAGTGTAATGCCTTAGGTGGTGGACAAGGTAGATTTGTCACTGGAAAATGAGACTGTCTGCATTGGAAACACAGACTATTATTTTTGTTCTGGCTTTGCAATTACAATATAGACATCATGACAAGTCTGCTTGGGCTACCCACTATTCAACAAACGATACTTGAGATTCCATCCTTTCTCAATATGTGCTTTCTTTTCTTGTTATTTCTTATGTGCCACTGGCAAGGAACAGGCTGCAGAGCACTGCAGTCTGCTGTGCTGATTTGAAACCCAGCTCAAAACCTGATTTTTTTCTAAATATATGCAAAGAATCTGCATGGCAACCAGCAAGCAAATCACATGAATGATGCAGCAGCTGTAAATGGACTCTGTACGAATAGCAATCTACTGCCTCCCATACAAGCTATGCCAGAAAAACCCAATTTGCTGGTGAATGAATAATAACCCTCCAAATACAATGTGGTTTAAGATTACTTGCTTCTATTGGTTTTGGAACATGTGAAAAATAACACTTTAAATGGAGAGGGACTTCACTAATATTTGTTCTTATTTTCATCCTTTGTAATGCAGCATGTTGTACACTGGTCATATCCATAGCACAAAGGATGTTTATATCACTCTCTAAACAAAAACAAGAAAAGAGAAAATTTGTTTTCTCTTGCCTGCCTTGATTACAACTAGACATCTCAGAGACAGGCTTCTTAATTCTGAGCATATTATTGAGCCATTACTAATTACTGTGTAATCAAAAGATTGCATATTATCTCTTAGTTCATATAAGCACTTACATTCTCTATTTCTTTAATTAAAAACTGAGAATTCAACTTACCTGACAAGTGAAAGCTATTGGGTCAGCCACTTTCTTTAAAATGGGCTCAATCTCCTCTAGTGCAGTGTAATACTCAATGAGTGCTGTGGTCTTAACGATTCCCCCAGAGTAGACATTTACAAATACAGGGCCAGCAGGAAAATCTTATAAAACACAAATTGGAACAGTAGCTGAAAATATTTTACAGAGATCTCAGGGAATGAGTAAAAGAACAGGAAAATATCACAGGAAAAAGCACAGAGTTGATGAACTGGATTTGCATTTAACAGGTGATTCAGTGTAGTCAGTTTTTTATTCAGGTCTTTCAGTCCAACGTTACAAAGCTGACAAAAGAAAATACATATCTGTAAATCTGTAGAAAGCAAAGCTGTTGTACTGTTCCCCATGAGAAATGAGATGAAAACAGAATGCTAAAAATTTCCAACTCCCCTTTGTAGACTGATGACCTATAATCAGCTCCCTTATGCCTACATATTAAGGAAAAGTTTATTTATTACAAATAGTGGACTTGCTATTCATTTTTTGAAGCATTTTTCTTAATTGCAGTCGAAGTTCTCAAGATTGGATTTGAGCTAGGCTGAAGAAATTGCAGTATAATTAATTCCATTTCAGTTGTTTACCTCGTAAAAGCAAAAGGAAAGAGGCATTCATAGTCTGTTGCTTAAGTATGACTCGCTTTGTGCAGGCAGCACAAGCCTACTTTATGAGCACATTTCCCAATTCATTAGTATTCATTGTGCCAGGCATTCTGCTGGACCATACTAGCACAGTTTTCTTAAAATACTAACTCTGCCCACAAAACAGTGATAAAAGGGACAACCCTGAAAATGAAGAAGAGTAATGGGACCAAAATAAGTAATCTAATAGAACATCATGTTAAATCATTTAAATGGAAACTGACCAAATGCTTTAAAAAAACCACAAAAAACAACCAACCCCCCCCCCAAACTAACACAAACCAAACCAAATCAAACAAACAATCAAACAAACAAAAACAAACCAAAAGAGCCTTTATACAAACATCAGATTAGCTGGACCAAAAAAGGATACTTCCAGATTTCCAACTTTTCCAGATTTTTGAAAGACATTAATGACATTATCATTTAATCAATTTATCATTAAGGACAAATGATATAAAAATTAAACTTGGGGTACAGCTCTCTGTAATTTTTTTTCCTATTTCATTTACTGTTCATATTTTGCTTCTTCATCCACTAGAAAAACCTTCTTATGATCATCAATGTTCTCACAAAGCAATTTTGGAAGAATCTTTTATGATCTGTGAATGAGGATTTCAACTTTTGTTTTCTGAAATCCAATTACAGATAAAAGCTGTCTGTTGGTTATTTACTTCTCACACAGGTTGCTAAAAACAAACTCTCTGCACCATCACAGTGATAAAGACCTTTCAGGCCATATGTGACCATCAGCCCAGGACAGTGTTCAGGATGAAAATCACAGAATCATTTCGGTTAGAAAAGATCTCTAAGACCATTGAGCCCAACCTTTGACCGGAACACCACCTTGTCAACTAGACTTGCCACATCCAGTCATTTCTTGAACATTTTCAGGAATGGTGACTCCCCACCTCCCTGGGCAGTCCATTCCAATGTCCAATCACACTTTCTGTGAAGAAATTCCTCCTAATGTCCAATCTAAACCTTCCTTGGTGCAGCTTGAGGCTATGTCTTCTTGCCCTGTCATTGGCTACCTGGGAGAAGAGGCCAACCCCCATCTGGCTACACCCTCCTTTCAGGTATTTGTAAAGAGCAACAAGATCTCCCCTGAGCCTCCTTTTCTCCAGGCTTAACAAGCCCAGCTCTCTCAGCTGCTCTTCATGTGACTTACTCTCTAGACCCTACAGCAGTTCTGTTGCCCTTCTCTGGACTCGCTCCAGCACCTCAGTGTCTTTCTTGCAGTGAGGGGGCCCAGAACTGGACACGGGACTCAAGGTGTGGCCTCACCAGCTTTGAGTCACAGAAGTCATCAGGTCACAGAATTACCCAAACCTAGCTCTGAGAAGCCACTGTGGAAAACTGTAGCTTATATGTATGCATTTCCTCCTATCTAATGTTCTATTGCAATCGTTTTAGAGTAAAATGTAGGTTCCTTTCACAGTATGCAATGCAGTAGCAAAGTATACTCTGAATCCATAGGTGAAAAATTTTTTAATTCTTAACTCACATCAAAAGGGTGGAGACAAGTGTGGCCATTAAATCTGCACAGATCTTCCAAGAGAAACTGTTGTTAAATAAGTGAAACTGTTAGCAATTAGTTATGGATGGTGCAGTGGAAAAAAATCATTAGAAACCTGCAAAGCTGAGTGATACAGGGAAATGGCATGAACATGTACAAAGAAAAGAAATTATTTCCTGCATCAGTAAAAACTATGGAGAGGAGTATAACCAAATTTACTGCATTAAATATAAAATGAAACATTTTAGTAATAGAGTAATAAGAAAAGAATATTAGCTTTGCATTTTTATGGCTGTAATTTCGAAGAATGTTAATCTGTAACTAATCAACGACATTTTAAGACTGCTACCTGCCATTTAACCACAGAAAACCAATCTAAGAGTACCTAGTTTCCCATATATCACAAGGCCTTTCTTCACTGCATTATTAATAAAAGTTCTGTGGGCAAAACCTATGTAAAGGAAACACCCACAAAATAGCAGGAAGTGAAACTACTTATCAGAAAAAGTGAAGAGAGTCGAAAGTTTTCAGTTTACTTAAAGGTAAGGAGTATTTTTCTTACCTAAGGCTTTCACGTACTTGACCTTCTTATTCCAAGAGGCTGTCTGTGTCCTAATTCGTTGATTATCTGATATGAATTCAATTTCTAGAGTTTCATCATCTATTTCATCTTTCAACAGAATGAATATTTCACCAGGGTTCTATAAAATTAAAATGTGTTCCCATTAGTCCTTCAGAAAATTATACTGAAAGTTTAAAATTATGTTCAAAGCGTATTGAAAGAACTTTTCTTTACCAACAGCTTCATGCAAAAAAATCATACTACCAAAACATGATGCTATCTCTAAATAATAGATAATAATTAACTAAAAAATACCCTCAGTATTTTACTGACATAAATGACACAATTAATGTAGGTTTTTAAATTCAGCTCACCTAACAATATTTTGAAACAGTATTTTAAATGCATATATAGGTGAATTCTTACATTTTCTAAGGCCACTCTATAGTCTAGAAGAATGACAGCTGTCCTAATAAGAACCTAAAATACTTTAGAGTCACTTAAACTCTTACGGTGAGCTGACAGTAAAGTAAGAAAGATACAGCAGGTGATGTGAGACAATACCCCTCTACTACCTCCTGAACCAGAGGGAAAGTTACTCCCTTAGAACTGTACTGATCTCAACAATGAAACAATGTGTGTAAGTCATCGTTAAAAAACAGACAGTAAGCAAAATGGGTGACATTCCATGTACACTGCAACCTCCACATCTGACCATGGCCACTCACTTATATAAAGGAATGCAGTGCTGGATTTTGTACGTCCTCTGTTTACACCGTCACATATTTCTCACAGCAACTGATTAAAAACACATATGAACATTTACGTCCATTGAATATGCATGCAGATACGTATATATAAATATTTCTGATTTAATTTAAAATCCCACTAGGTACATGCTTACACAAGCGCTTGTGTAATTCATGGCATGGGCACATATGCACGTACCCAAACACCCATCATGGATTCTTGCCAAGCAGTACTCCGTATCTCTCAAGAAGAGCCTGACTACATGCTCCCTCTAAACTATAGGTCCCTCATGACAGTAATACTTCTACTCAAGCAGCCAAACAAATCTAATAGAGCTAAAATACCTCAGAGGCTATCTCCAAACTATTTTATTTGCAAATCTTTTGACTGCAGTGTGGATGTGACACAAAGGCAAAATAAATCCCACTGTAGTCTCAATGCACTCTCATTTTGGCCCCTTAACAATTTTGAAAACAAATAGTAGATATAGTATGATTAGACTGCAGAAGGAAGAGGAGAAGAACATTGAATGTTATCCCAAAAATTTTAGCATCCAAAAATCTTACCTCACATGATACTCTTCCTGGAAGCACCAATATCGACTGCTCCGCAGTTTCCAAACTTTTTGAAAGTACCTCATTTTTAGAACTGAAGTCTGTTGTTTCTGATGCTGCCATGACATTTGACAAATTAATATCAGAGCTAGTCCGGTGATCTGAAATAAATAATGTGGAATGAGAACATTGTAAATAATCCAAAATCAACACAACACAGCAATGATGTGTTTTCCAATGTATTACTCATATGGCATTTGGAGTCACATTAAAGGGCACTGCATGAATGCTGGAAAAATTCCTTTAATGTAAGTGTGATGACAAAGAGCTTGCCTCTGAAGTTCTGATCCTGCAGCCTTAATTTACATGAACAGGCTCTGCTCATACATTTGTCTTACTAAAATCAAAAGGGACACAGCCTTTAGACCAAAATCATTGCAACCAACCAGGTCACAGAGATCAGCCAGTTTTGTAGTCTCAAAAAAAAAAAATTCTCATACACTAGGATAAAATGGGACTTCTATCACCCTCCCTTTCCCCATATGAAAACAAACACATGCTAAATGTTTACAGCATCTGCCCACCTATCTGCAGGAAGGGTTAACATGAGGGCAGTGATACCTGTGACCAGGTAACTGTGAGAGTAGGCACAGACTTCCTCCATAGTATTTGCCTGCATTAATGGATGGAAGGCATACATTTCTTTAATTGGCTAATCTGGGTTTGGAACTGCTATGCCGGTCATACAAGTAGCTTGCAATCACGTTCTTTTCTGTTTTGCTGTACCAGAAAAGGCCAAAGAGCCATTGTGAATCCTTCACCGTATTTTAATCCTTCACAGAATTTTAATGATGAAATAGAACTGATGACTGCATCTGCAGAGCTCTGACTAAGCCTGTGTTTTAGCAAAGGTATTCTTCACACCTGCTACTTCTCAGCTGTGTCATAACTACTCCTTTCCAGACACTCTATTACCCTGTACAAAACACTCTAGCCACCCATCTCAAAGGACTGCAGCAGCTCTTCATCATGCAAGATTACTCAGTATACTGCAGTCACCTAGTCAGATTATTGATATCATTGCATGCAACTCAGAGTTAAAACCTTGACTGGTTGATGAGAAAAATATCCTGAGAGACATTCACAGTATCTTGTATTACTGTAAATTATGAAACACTCACAGTCAATTACATTCAAGGATACAAAGAAATATTCAGGCTCATATTTTCCTCTTAAATGGATGTAGAATATTAAAATAAATTAGTGATGGGTAGCATGCAGAACAGTAGTAATTTGGCTTTGCTCAAACAGTACCACAGCCATTTTGAGGTTTTTGCAAAAGTGCCCAAGTGACTGAGGTACACAAACCACACAGTGCTCCTAAGTGGCATAGAAACCTTTCCAGTGAGTGTCAATATTGGAAATTTACAATTCCTTTTCTCACTTGCTTGCCTTTATTCAGTTCATCTGATTCATATGCACCAGTTCATCTGATACAGAATGTTCTCTTTCCTTACCAATCCTGCCTTGCTTGGATTTTAATAAACTACTACTATAGTAAATGTACCTGCTGAGTGAATTATGCCAGGGCATGCCATATCTGACGTAGAATTTTTTTTTTCTCCAGAAATGTGCTTTGATTGTCAGAGAGATCTCAGAAAAAGGGTAAAAATAATAATAGAAAAGAGAATAACATTTTTCCATGTTTCCTCAAGGAAGCTAAAGTTTCTTTGAAGGTAGGTGAGTTTGGTGATCACCCCTAGTGAAATCTACCCAGTTTACTCCTGCTTACACTCTCATGCCTTTAAGGCAAAAAAATTCTGAATTTAAGCTGTGAATTCAGTGCAGATTGGTAAAATTACACTGAACCTATGTGTAGACATACTTTACGGAAGTAATATTAATTTCATTTGATTTATTTTAGAAGTTAAATAGGCTACACTGAACAAAGGCTATTTTGACTCCAAATGAGAGCCCACACACAGTTCAATGCAGTTTAACTAATCCAGCTCAAAATATAAGTACATTCATTTCTCTGATTATCACTGTGAAGATGAGACTTTATTTAGCACCGCCCTTCAGAAAAAGGAAGTTCTGAACTCTTGCTGAGGAAAACAGGTAGGATACTTTACAGCAGCCTTACAAGGTCTACTAGAAAGATGGAGAGGGACCTTTTACAAGGACATACAGGGATAGGATGGGGGGAATGGTTTCAGACTCAAAGAGAGTGTGTTTAGATTAGATACTAGGAAGAAATGCCTTATAGTGATGGTTCTGAGACACTTGAATAGGTTGCCCAGAGAAGCTGTGGATGCCTCATCCCTGGGAGTGTTCAAGGCCAGGCTGAATGGGGCTCTGAGCAACCTGGTCTAGTGGGAGGAGTTCCTGCCTATGGCCAGGGGTTTGGAACTAGGTGTTTCTTTCCAACACAACCACTCTATGATTCTATAATACTGTATGCCCAGAGCACATCCTTTGGGAATATTATGTGTTCACATTTCAAGTCACTCATAAACCTTACACTTAAGCACACAGAATGCACTTCAGAAGATAACTCATATGAGGTGCGCGCTGCTTCCGAAACTTTTTTTGGCCACTTTAGGCAAAGGAGTCTCACAGAGACAAGAAACCTTTCATTATCAGATTGACAAAATGAAAGGAATGAATAACAAATCTGGTAGGCACTGGATTCTCAGATGTCAGCCGTCTGTCAGTGATCGTTCTTTAAGGATCATGTAGATGCATTCTAATCTATGTGAAGTTCATGACAACTTTATTTGTACAGTCTGCACTCTACTTATCAAAGATGACAGTAGTCACTTTTACCTTTTAATGCCAATAATTCATCTACTGAGAACATTAATGCTAGTGCTAACAAGTTGGTTTAAATTAGGATAACATTTTCCTCCCCCACTAATTGCATTTTAATATTTTATTATGCCTTGTGATATCTAAATACAGTATCAGAACTTCAACTCTGTCACTACTGGGATAGCACAGCTATACCAATAATATAAAAATTATCAAAAAACGTGGTTCTTATATCAAAGACTTGGATATTTAAGAGAATTAGGGATTGTCCCGTTGACTCTGAAAGCAGTTAGTAATTTCTTAGCTAAAAACCATCAAGCAAGACCTCTTTCACTAAATGTCAGGTCTACCTGACAAACACTGAACTATGTACAACAGTCCAAGAACCACAGCGATCTGCATTACCACTGCTATATATCTAGTAACAAAACTTCAGAGCCATCACATCTCCAGCACTCAAATTCCTACCAGCAGTTGCACACTATCCTAAAACGTGGAACATAAGCAACCATACGAAATGTTGTCTGTCAATGCTGAAAAAGGAATACACCAGAGATTACACAAGGTTTGGCTTATCAGCATTAAGTGAAACAATGTAGCTCATAAAGGTGTGAATACTACATTAATGAAACTGTAGTAACACAAATGGAGCAATGTATATCCTCTTTACATTCTTGCTGTTAACCTGAAAGCAATGGCTAGGGAGCTCCACCAATTGCGGAGGCTTTCATAAAAATGGTCATTTAACAAGAATTTACAACTGAGGTTGAAGATTAGCTTAAAAGAAACAAAAAAGGAACATCATTATCATGCTAGAATATCTAAGAGAGAGGATTTATTAAAGGGTATTTGTTGCTTGGTGAATGTGTTCTTTTAATGTTTTATATAATGGTGACCTATCTGTGAGGTTTTTAAAATGTAGCAGTAATTATTAAAATAATGGATGAATAAAACCAGACCCTTTCTTGTAGGATCAAAGTATAAGAAATTATTAACTATATCTAATGATGCGTAGACAACACTAAGAGTCAGAAGCTAAAAAGAAAGGAAAAATCTATGATAATCGTCCCTTGAGTAATCAGGGCAGTACTACTGGGAATGATCATCTATTATAGAGGGTAATGCTTAATTTCCATCAGGTTACTTTTGTTGGCTTACTTTGAAAAATATCTACTGCTGATGGTCACACTAAAGGACTGATCTTAAATTTAAGTCCATTTTAAATAGCAAAATATCACACACATTTACTGTAACAGCTATTCACTTAATTGGGGACAGTGCTGATGTTTTCAATTTCACTTCAATATTTTCTCCTAATTCATGTAACTTCAATACGTCAACTTGGTATATTTTACACAAAACCCTTTGGAACACATTATTGCTTTCAATTTAACATTTTGAACTAAATTAATGACATGACTTTGAAATTGCATTCCTTTACATAAATCGAGAAATTTTAATAAAGCCTCTCTAGTCTCCTGTGTATTCAGCAAGTAATGCTTCACCATGGCTTCTAAGCAACTTCCCTGCCACGTCCAATCTTCCCCTGCCCCCCCAAATCCTAACACTTCAAATACACTCTTTAGGTATCCTTATTGCAGCCTACATGAGAATTGTAAGTATTCACTGCCTTTGTTTACTCGGTACTTGCTACATGTTTTGAGTCAACAATGTATGTGACAGATTTAGGGCATTAAAAATAGCAGAAAACAAACTTATGAAAGATTTATGTGTTTTCTAAGGCTACCCATGGAATGAATCTCTCAGTCAAAACTAAGCAGGTTTTACAAAAGCAAAATGCCTGCTGGCTTCACAAATTTCAGTTCTTCCTCAAGACCTGCTAAAGCAATGCTAGCTGAAGAACTGAAACTATGTTACAGAAGAGGTCCTCAATTAGCCCTAGATCACACATCATACAAAAGGATGAGAAATATGGGCAAATTAGGTTAGGCAGGTGACAAGAAATGGAAGGGTAAATTAGCGAATGTGGCCAACTTGCCACATGAAAGAGCAGATAGGGCATTCCAGCGCCAAAGATTAAAATCAGGAGGATCACAGCAGATCATTTAAGTGCAGGAGTCACCCCATCTTATATGGCAGGCCCACTCTCCAGCACAACATGAGGTAAGAGCAGAGGTGGTCCCACTGGGTTCTGTGAGGTAAACTGAAAAGGTTCTCATGCATAAGCGACTTCCTTGCAATTCAAAAGCCTGAAGTCAAACACGTGTGAGTGCCCTGAGGAAATATGGATTAAAGTAGAGCCATACTGAAAATGCAAAGTAACCTTCTGCAATGCAGAAAAAAAAATCAGGAAAAAAGATGTATGCACATCCTATTCTTCCTGCAATCC